TTTTATTGCTGCAAGTGAACTTAAGGCTCAAAAGAAGCAGAAGAACTGCTACTGCAAAACAACTGATAATCAGTTGATTAGAGTCTGAAATTCTTTGGCACCATATTCTAAATCTCACTATATAGTACTTGGATCACTGAAGGGGTTACCACTATTGGCCCAAAATTATACGTCAATCTGAAGAAGAAATCATAAACAACAGTTGACTGTGTTTGTACAGAATTTTAATGTTAGTAAGAAAGATGGGGAAAAGGTTCCAAAGAAGGACATTCCAAGGTACAAATCAGAACTATAAGGACATCTTGGGTCCTCCATTTGTGGTTGGTGCTCAGGCCGCATGCATATTTGCAAGCTGACATGAGCAGACAGAATCTAGCGTAAGAACTGTGATCAGAGTCATTCTAAGACTGACAGAAGGAGGAGTCCGGGAATAGGAAAGCAAGAACAAAGCCTATCATTGAGAACATAAAGGATCACGCTGCTGAAGTGCCACAACTTATGTTAGTTCATTTTGGTTTTAATTTCTTAACACAGCCCAGCATAATGAGGAACCGTAACAGAAGACAAGTTCCTGCTGAGTGAGGCTCCCATCATTATTTGTCAAGTACCTCTTATGCGAAAGAGCTTTGCAGGAAACCACAACATTGTTGTTTCATGCCTGGGATCTAATAATAGTTCAGTTATGAATCGGTCTTCTCGCTGCTCGAGGACTAGAGAAAATCAAACACAATATGAATCCAAGCCTTTTCATCTGTAAGGTAGATGTTAAGGCTCAACTGCCTCTATTTTTCAAACAGATAAAATATAAAAAATAAAATGTTCAGTCCATTTAAAGATTCACATAGGAAGATCTCAAATAATTCTTCTGATCTGGTAAGCTTGGAGATACTGTTTTTGTTGTTTTCTAGGCTGTTCTGGGGATCAAAATATTTCTCTATGGGCACTATCAACAAGGATTGCATTGAAATGGGGGCAGATTGTGAGAACCCAGAAACTCACTTTCACACAACACGCAGTCTCAGTGATTTGGGGATAGAGATGGATTTCCTTTTGCCCAGGGGATATGTTAAAAATCATTCCTTATTTTAATTTAAAGTAGTTCACAATGTGCAATCCACCCAACAAGAGCTTATAAAGTATAGAACACAAAATAATATGATATATAACATTGGTTTATATCTGAACTCCAAAAGCAGCTTGTAAAGTGTTCTACTATCATATTTTCACTTTCTGTCTCTATAAATGCAGCCTTGTAAGGAGTTATCTATTTCAATATGTGTTAATATAAAGTATTTATGATAGCCCCCTCAGAATTATCATTAGTTATATAATATGCTATGCTTACAATTTCTATAGCTGCAAAAATGAAAGCAATCTTATTATTATTGGTTTTAGAGAAATATATTTTAATTATTTCAAGGTTATCAAAATGATACTTTTACAGTACCTACATAAATGAACGTTGTACATGCGCACGGTAGTCACCCTACTTTTCCTGTATTATGTATACATGTTTGAATAAACATGGAATTACACAATATGATGGAGAATGAACTGTCATCTATTTTCAAAGATAAAAACATGTACAAAGCTATCATTAAATTGATATAAGTACTGGAGAGAACTGGATTATGCAGTACTGATTATATTCTTAAAGAAATTAATTTTTCAATATTTCTGAAAAATTTCTAGACACTTTTAGAGATTATTTGGTCATTTATCCTTGTCTCACACGTAGTCACATCATTGTCTCAAGGAGTCTGTGAAAGTCACAATTTTCTTATGGTAAGATTTTCTACCAACTGTTAAGATATTCTTTTTTGGGGGGAGCCTACAGGGTGTACAGTGTCTCACTACTAGATCAGACTAGTAGTGATCCGCCTGTTTATAGCCTTCCAAGAGCTGGGATTACAGGAGCACGCCAGCACATCCAGTCTCAGTGGCCTTCTCAGTGCATGTTGGGATGGGGGGCTGGCATGGCAGGCTGAGGAATCGAACCCCTAGCCCCGGCAACTGCTTGCAGGTGCTTTAATCCACTGAGCTATTTGGCTGGCCCTTTGTTCTGAAGTGGTTTTTTGTTTGTTTGCTTGATTTTTTTTTTTTTTTTTTGTATTTTAGGGAACAGTCTACAGGGTGCTCAGGGTCTCACTAGTAGATCAGACTCATAGTGATCTGCCTGTTTACACCCTCTCAAGAGCTGAGATTACAGGCACATGCCACCATGCCCAGTCTTGTTAGGATATTCTAAACCCTTAGTAATGGTTAAAATATCACTTTTAAATTAGTAGAATCCAAAAATATACATAATACTTCAATATAGACATTCATTCACCAAAACTAGGCATGTTCAGTCCTACTTCTAAGACACCTTTAGCTTGTTTCACAGCTCTGTATCTGTAGATCTCTCCCAAGTGAAAGTTTCCACAGTTTAAAACTAAAATTTATCCTTGTTTTTACTTCTTCTTACATTATGTTTTCTTCAAGTTGTTCCAAATCTGATTGAAAAAAATCTAACACATTAGCCATATCAACTCCATATCAAATTTCTCTACAAGTTTCTGTCTTCACTAAAGGTATGGAAGGTTAAATTTAGGAGGAACCAAACATGTTTAATATATTCTTGGAGTGGCCTGTTAACTGGTGTTGACAAAACCCTTTTTCTTTTCACAAGTGTTCTAGCAATATTCCTTTCTATTTAGTTAATATTAACCTTTTAATATGCCATTCAAAAACTTTAATTTTTTTAAGTATACGTAATGTTTAGAGATTTCGGTTGCTTTTGTCATCTAACTTTCTACCTTCTATAAGGCAAATTTTATTTACATAGATTTAATCATGTAAACTTGTGCACGTACATGCTTGAGCATGTATATATTCTTTTTTCAGTACCACTGTTATTTTCTGCCTTGATATTAAAAGTTTCCTTTTTCAAGTTCAATGATTCTTCTGGAAGGCACATTTTTTGCAGTTCCGGTGAAGTACAGCACATCCCTTGTCAAGAGCTCATTATTTTGCTGTGTTAGACCTTTCTAGGGAGAAGCTCTTTCCTTCATAAATCCTCTTTTCTTTAGAAAGTCTAACCTCCAGTTGGAAAGTTGAAAAAGCATTTTTATGTCTCCGTCATACAGTGTCCCTTTATAAAACTTTAAATGCTAACCAAATATGGTGCAACTCTCTTTATTCCTAATAGTATTTCAGATTAAATTTCTAGTAATTATATAAATACTGTGAAGGGTACCCTAGTCCCAAATCATTAAAATGATTCTGCATTTACCAATGAGTTTCATCCTATTCTGTCTCCTCAGGTCCAGGGACAAGAGCCTTAAATCTCTTCTTCAGGACACCAGTTATGACAATCACAAATATGTCTCTTTCCATAAATACTTAATTCCTTCCTTTTACTTAGATTGAGGACCTGATGACTAAACAGAGTTGATATTAATAATGAAGTAATATGCTTATAATTTGGTATGTCTGCTTCCCCAAAAGTCAAGCCTTTGGGGAAAGCAGGCCATGACCGTAATATTACTAGGCCATGTGCACCAGGCAGTTTCCTACTCCACTTTTCCTATTCCATGACATTCCTCAGAATAGAAAATTAATACATAGTTTTAAATTCTGTTTTTGAACAGGAAAGACAATTTCTTTTCAGTTTCTCCCCAACCATATCTTCTGAAGTGCGTGCCTTCAACAGCACACACACACGCACACACACTCATACTAATGTCGGTGTAATTTTTGTATTTTATTCTCTATATTTCATTGCATATTCACAAAATTATCCTTCTGTTTAGCAATGTGCAATCTAGAAAATTTTGCATGTCCTGGATGATGACTATCATAAATATACCTATATATGAAATAGAACTGTAATTTTTGTAATAGAAATATTTGATATGAAGGCAAGAACCCGTACTCTATACTGATGGGTCTCTCTACTTTATTGTTCTTCAGTACAGTCACGGGTGTGGGGGAGGAGGGGATGTTGTGCACTTCACAGACTGATAGCAGACATTGATTCTGTGCTCCAGAAGAGTGCAGTCTTGCTTACACACCAGTTGGAAGCTAGGCACAATTGTTTTCATGAAGGGGCGCTGAGCAGCACACCACAATGTGCATCATGGGTGTCATTGCACTAATATCCATTCTGGATGAGGAGTGCAACTAATAAAATACTGTCCACTGCGTTCCCTTGAGGACACTAATATCAATCAGTAGTGAAATGGAGAGAAGGGAACTGGTACTCTAATTTTGTCTAGGATGTATCAATTCTGATTGGTATGGTTTTGGTCTATGTAAATACTTTGCAACTCTGTATAATCAAAATTATTATTTATCATATGAATTGTTTTCACAATGAAAAGCAAAGAATTTAACACACTCTCTTTACTAGTTTCTCTGGTTTATTATAATTTATGGCATTTAAAGAACACAGAAAACAGAATCAACTCTTTTATTCATCATTAACTTCCCTGTGGGAAAGTGCTCTAATGAGAGAGCTTCACGTTATAGTTGACTTTGAGAGCATCGATGTGCTGTTTCCATAGAAATGCTGTCTGTACCATGATGTTTGCACATTTTTATGTATTAGCATCAGCTACACAATTTGAGAAAAACACCAAACACTTGCCGGCAGAGGTGTGGGGAGGTTTTCCCAGCTCACCATGAAGGTGAGGGCACGCTGGGTTTCAGGCCATTTGAATTTCTTACATCTGTTAGCTGCTGCGTCCATACCCAAAATGTTCACCGCTTCCTCCTTCCTCTGTCTTACTACTTTCCTTCCCCTCTAGTTTAGCTGAATCAAATTTCAAATAAGGTCACTCAATATGAGACTAAAGCAATGCCAGCTCCATAAGAATTGTCCCTGACTGTTCTCTTGTCTGTTTCCTAAGGTGAACCAAAGAAAGAGCCGCACATACACTTTGTATCCATTAAAAGAAATGTGAATCTTTCATGGCAGCTTTACTAAGTGTATTTTGTTTTGCTTATGTCTGTCATAGATAACACAGCCAGCATTCTGACAAGGCGGAGGAGATTTAGTCGAAGTATTCAGGATGTGTATTATCTGCCCATTATGATCTCTGACGGTGGAATCCCCTCTCTCAGCAGCAGCAGCACCCTCACCATCAGGGTTTGTGCATGCGAGAGAGACGGGCGCGTGCGGACCTGCCACGCAGAAGCCTTTCTGTCCTCCGCCGGGCTGAGTACAGGAGCCCTCCTCGCTATTCTTCTCTGTGTTGTCATCCTCCTGGGTAAGCCCACAGTGTGGACCTGCAGGGATGTGCGGGAAACCTGAGAGAGTGGACCACTTTTGCAGTGTTTAAGTATAAGACGTGCATTCGTGCGGACAAGAGGACAGAGCTGCTCAGATTTGCCTTTAATAGACTTTCACAATACTATAATCTAGAATTAATTTGATTCAAATATGATGAAAGACTGGAAATAACAGAGAAAGAGTGAAAACTGAAACAGTTTGCAAGAGTCTGTATTTTAGAAAAGGGGTCATAAAAATTCTGAATCCTGTCTTGGAAAGGTTTTTGAAAACTTCTAAGAACTAATGGTAAAATGAATATGATTGGAACCCATAGCATTTGGATGTTATACACATTGGACAAATAAGAATAGAAATTAAATGTACAAGATGAGGATTGTAATTAATACTAATATTGATTTGTATATTGAAAGCAGCCAAGAGAGTAGATTTAGGTGCTCTTACTACATACATTCAAAAGGCGATAACTTAGATGATGCATATGTTAACTAGCTTCATTATAGTTTATGTTTTACGTTGCATTATTATATAAAACATTATATAAATAAGAAACTTCCATTGGTCCAAAATATTAACTAGTCACCATCGTCCCTTATTTTAATGTTTCTCAAATACATTAATCCAATGCATCATAATTTTATTAAATTAAATTAAATCCAGTAAGATTTCTAAAACTTGAAATTTACATTTTTTAAAAAATTGTCCAGTTATACAGTATCTTTAGTAGTCTGAAAATCATATTCTTTATGAATGTTATATTACAGATTTTACATTATAAACTTTTTGGACTGCTATTTAAAGTAAAATACAGAAAAAGGAAAACCAAAATGCCAACTCCAGATTTCATAGTAAGAAAAGTAAATGATATTATTTTTGCTTCAGAGTTTAGAGCAATTGCAGGTTAGTTTTTCTGTTCCAGTCTCATCATTTCTGTTAGTTGGAACTGCTGTTCCTTTTGGGTTACCACACCTTAATGAAAATAGAACAGTATGTTTTGGAGAGACTGAGGTGTTTTTAGGAGAGACGGGCCTTGCTTTGTTCTTGGTGCAGATGACAGATTACTTATACAGGCAGAGGAAACAGTGAGATGAACAGAAACCTAAAAGGACAAGAGGCAGGAGGAGAAGAAGTGCGACCCTGGGGCTTGTTAGGGGGCAAAGCTGGCCTTTGGTCCAGATGTGTAAGGAAGGACTGAAAACAAGACAGTCTTATGATACAATTTGCAATTTGGAAAAGATCGCTGAATTAATTGGAAACCAGAGCTCAGGCTGTCAGGACAGCCGTAGACCAAACAATGAAGAAGGTGGTTGGATTGTCTCCCTCAGACTGTATAAACTGGATTAGTATATTTTTTAAAGTCTGAAGAAAATTGAATAATATCAAGATACTTTATATGACATGAAACGTGACCTGAGAAAATTGAGATACGTAAGTAAGACATGAAAGCCTGTGTCTTCCCTAGAGTGCGCCCCGATTTCACCTGAGCTGCACACACAGAACATTCTTTTTTCTTTTTGAAGTCACACAACCAAAGAACACACAGAGAAGCATGTTCTGAGACAGAGCAAGTCTAAGACCAGCAGGACTTCCGTACGATCACCAGGTCAAGCAGGAAGAGGTAGCGGGGAAAGGCAAAGAAGTCAGAAAGAAGAGAAATTAGAAAAACGTAACCACACAAAGACTAAAGGGAAAACCGTGTCAAAGAGGACAGCATGCTGTGGAGAAGCTGTACACATCGTCTAGGCCGTTCAGAGGTTAAACTGAGTTCAAACTTCAGTCTTACACTTAGCACCACAGAACATGGAGGTTTGGCGAACCTCCACAAGACGTCTCACTGCAGGTCGTCTTTTATTTTTTTTATTTTTATTTTTTATTTTTTGGTGGAACCAGGGATTAAACTCAGGCCCTTGCGCTTGCCAGGGAAGCGCTTATTCCACTGAGCCATCTCCCCAGCCCCACGTCTTTTAAATATAATGTGTGGGACCAAGGAGCCAGGAAAATTGGGCTTCCGATATTCGATTCATTAGTATATTCATTGGTCACATCTGCTATTTTCTCTACACAGTAACATATTTATGGATTTGTCCAGGAAAATTAAAAAAAGAATACCACAATACACAATAAAATAAAATACAAAGCTATACAACCAATGAGAGTCTGGAATATTCAAGGTTCCTAAGTGAAGCCACAGAAAACAGAGCTTAGTGATTTTAATCTGAATGTTTCTGGAGTTCTTGTTCTACAAGGCAGTACATTTCAAAGAGAAAAATGATCTTTCATTTGTTTTCATTTATCATCACATAATTAGTTTCATGTGTTACAATTACAAGTTAAAGAGTAATGGAATATTTCAATATAAAAGGAAATTTCAAGTTGTGCTATGTAAAAATTACTGTTGCTTTATGCCAATGATATTTTCTTTTTATTGACTTCCATTAAAATATTTTTAGTTTCTGGTATAAGTGACAGTGTTTTTGCATTTTTTGTATTATCCCTCAAGATTTCTGGACAACATTGGAGTTTCAAATGTTTAGGTAGAAAATTTTATAATTTTATGACATGAAATTGTTCATTGAACTTGTGTTCAAGAACTATAAGTTATAATTAAAATTTTATATGGCATGGTAAGACTTTAGATTTTTGTTCAGACCATATCTGCTGAAAATTTAAAATGTAGTCATCTGGAAATTAAAATTAATTTCAGAGTTAAACTGTGAGGTCACAAGTTTCATTGAAATTATCAGTCACACTAAAGGTAGCAAATGTATTTTAAAACATAGTTGTGAAATAACATTCACACATAATATCTAAGACAAATATCACATTAATATTGTAATATTGAAAACTATGTGAGCTAATAGCATTGTGGTTCATAAAATCACTTGAGTTTGTATTCATCCAATCTTAGTTTAGCAACAGGTGAAATGAAATTTCAGTGAAAATTCATTTATTTAAAGTCATCTTTCTGGGGCTGGGGAGATGGCTCAGTGGAATAAGCGCTTCCCTGGCCAGCGCAAGGGCCTGAGTTCAATCCCCAGTGCAGCAAAAGAAAGAAAGAAAGAAAAAGAGAAAGAAAGAAAGAAAGAAAGAAAGAAAGAAA